CCCTAGGCTCCCCTTCCCCACATCAAAAGTCAAGACTACCTCAGGCCCTGGAAGCAGGGATGGCATATTTATCTGACACTTATGTGTCCAAAGTTCATTTTATATTCCAGAGGTTATAGGTATACAATATTAGTAGCTGGCAAGAAATCAGCAAAGAGAGAATTATGGTTTCAAACCAGGTCAACTGAGACACAAGACTGTGGCACAGCGGGTAAAGCCACCTGCAGTGCCAGCAACCCATATGGGTGCCGGTTCAAGTCTTGGCTGCTCCAATTCTGATCCACTCTATGCTATGGCCTGGGAAAGCAGTGGAAGACGGTCCAAGTCCTTGTGCCCCTGCACCCACGTGGGAGACCCAGAAGAAGCTCCTGGCTCCTGGCTTCGGATCAGCACAGTTGCAGCCAATTGGGGAGTGAACCAGAGAATAAAAGACCTCTCTCTCTCTCTCTCTCTCTCTCTCTCTCTCTCTGCCTTTCCTTCTTTCTGTGTAACTCTGACTTTAAAAATAAATAAATAAATCTTTAAAAAAAAAAAAAAAGACTGATTGAAGAGCCTGAAATTATACCTCCCAGCTCTGTTCTGCTTGTAAGATGCTCAGGTGGTATTAATGCCCACACAAATATCTTACCACTCAGCAGGCCTTACCACGGGCATGGAGAGGCCAACAAACCCTAAAATGCAGAAGATTCTTATTTTCTGCCATGATCAAATCAACTATGAGACATGCAAGACTACAGAAAAACAAAGCACGAAGAGGGCGCCAAACATCACGGCAGCATTTTTGTGAGACACGTGAAAACATGTCACATGCTAACGTTCATCCTGGTGCGTGAATACCTTTTCTGGTGTGTAAATCTCCTTTGAGTCTGATAACCGGCAGAAGCACAACGTGGGCTTTATTAATAATGAGGGCTCCCAGCTTTGCCGCTTCCCAGCTGGGAGCCGGGAGAAAGCAGTTAACCTCCCTGTTGCAGTGTCCCCATCTGTAGATGGGAGCTAGGAACATCACCTCATCACAGGCTGTGGGAAGAGCCATGGCTCTCCTCACGCTCCAGACCCCATGTCCCACAACATCCCAGATACTCTACCTGGATCTTACCTCTGTTCAAACTCAACAAGTACAACATCAAACTCGTCTTCCCGTTTTGTGCCACTGTTAACTGTCTTTCCCACCCTTTGAAATCCTACAATAGAACCCACCATATAAATGATCTGTTTACATATCACACCATACGTTTACTATTATCTTAAATCCTTCTTTTATCGGTGTTATTTGCATACTCTAACTTGGGATTCATTCGACTTTTAATTAGGGAATCTGCTGAAGCAATATGGTAATACCTGGGGGTGGGAGGGCAGTTGAGTATTCCTTTGTTTGTTTATTCATTTATATCTGCAGTGATGATTTCAACAGTGCAGGGAGAAACAGAAGTCCAGATACCTAATAGCACCTTGTTCTTCCTCTCATTAACACAACATGTAAGCCATTTAGTACACGGTCTGGCACCTTGTAAAACCTGCCTATGCCTCAGTTCCTCACAGACCAATCTACAATACAGAGCCTGCACAAATTGTCTACACAGGTTTGCAGTCATTACCATGACACACTAAGAAATACTCTACCGCGGCCGGCGCTGTGGCCTGGTAGGCTAAGCCTCCACCTGCGGCACTAGCATCCCATAGGCATGTTGATGATCCCACACGAGTCCCCGCTGTTCCACTTCCCATCCAGCTCTCTGCTAATGGCCTGGGAAAGCAGTGGAAGACAGCCCAAGTGCTTGGGCCCCTGCACCCACATGAGAGACCCGGAAGAAGCTCCTCCTGGCTCCTGGCTTCAGGTCAGCCCAACTCTGGCCACTGCAGCCATTTGGAGAGTGAATTTTGCCTCTCAAATAAATAAATAAATCTTTTAAAAATTATTCAGCTACCCACGGCTTATATGATTCTCAGTCAGTTATCATAAATACAGATTACCTTTTATGGAAAGAGGACAAATTCATTACTATTATCAAAAATAAGGAAGAACTGGGAATGGGGGAGGGACAAGGAACAGCTATGTATCAAAATACTGGCCGGGAGATAAGTCTTGGGAGAGGAAACTGTTAAATGCCTACTCCAAGATGAAGTCATTTACACATCACTAATAATAACCCTTCACAAGGCAGACATTACTATACCCATTTTACAGACAGAATAAACAGGTTCACAGACAGGCTAACTAGCTTACATCAAGCAGCTACTGCAAATGGCAAACCCATGTCAGTGGTATCATCTTTGTACATAAAAAAATAGCATCCTTATTGTCATTTGAAGATAAAATATGCGAAAAACCAGAATGTTATACAAATATACATATAAAAACACAATAGTAGGGGCCAGCTCTGTGGCACAGTAGGCTAAGCCTCCACCTGTGGCATGCCATATGGGCCCCAGTTTGAGTCCCGGCTGCTTCTCTTCTGATCCAGCTCTCTGCTATGGCCTGGGAAAGCAGTGGAAGATGGCCCACGTGCTTGGGCCCCTGCATCCTCATGGGAAACCTGGAAGAAGCTCCTGGCTCTTGGCTTCAGATCAGCCCAGCTCCAGGCATTGTGGACATTTAGGGAGTGAACCAGCTGACAGAAAACATTTCTCTCTGTCTCTCCCTCTGTCTGGAAGTCTGCCTCTCAAATAAATAAAAAAAAAAACTTTTAAAAAAATAGTGATTACTATTCATTTCCTTCAATTTTCTGGATCTTGGCTTAATTCCTATCTTTCAGTTCAAGAAGCTTTGTCTTCTTGACTTCTTTCTGTATTCCAAGTAGCAATCAAATAGGGCATGTGATGCAAGAAGAACTAGGGCATTAATGTACTATTTTTAGTTTCTGAAACAGTTCTGAGCGAAAGTTCACATTAGGGGCCGCTGCTGTGGCATAGTGGGTAAAGCCTCCGCCTGCAGTGACAGCAACCCATATGAGCGCCAGTTCCAGTCCTGGCTGCTCCACATCTGATCCAGCTCTCTGCTGTGGCCTGGGAAAGCAGTGGAAGGTGGCACAAGTACTTGGGCCCATGCACCCACATGGGAAGATCAGAAAAAAGCTCCTGGCTCCTGGCCCAGCTCCAGCCGTTGTGGCCATTCGGGGAGTGAACCAGTGGATAGAAGACCTCTCTCTGTGCCTCTGTCTCTCTGTAATTCTGCCTTTCAAATAAATACAACAATCTTTAACAGGAAAAAAATAAAAAGTTCACATTTAAAATTATGACCAGAATTCCCGACATTTTACAGGAACCAAGTCCCTCAGATAACGATCTCAATAATATACATAGGAAACTGGCCCATTCCATTAATCAATGCATTAACAGACACCAACGTACACCTAAGGAAATATCAATAAACCCCTCCACATTACAAGAGTGAGGCCATAATGAGTTAAAAACAAAAAAGAAAGAAAAAGATAAAAGGAAGTTCCTTAGAAAGTTCACCTTAAGTGAAACCATAATTACAGAGACTTGAAAAGCATCCACTTTCTCAGAATGCTCACAACGCATTATCTATCTCTAAGAAACCCAAATGATCTAGGTTTACTTCATTCTGCTTTTATAAAATGTAGCCACCTTAATCGTGCAGATTTGGAAGAACAAAAGCTTTAATTTTCTAGCACTGAAAATATCCGAAAGTATCAAATCCTCTAAAAGACAGCTCAACTCTTCCTTATCAAAAATGTCCCTGCAGTAGGTGTTAATCAATCACTACAGACTGAGCACCCGCACAAAGCAACCTGTGTGTGCGTGGTGTTTCACTACAGGAAGTAGAAAGTTCAGTTTACCCAGAACACATTTCACTTTCAAAAAGTCTCGAAAACTAATCCGCTAACAGTACCTCATTTACATCTCATTCCAAAGGGAACAAGTCGGTGTGATCCCAAGGCATCTGAGACTGTGCATAATTTCACTTGGCAAAAGCAGGTGTTGGGTTTTGTGGCTTTATTTTCTTTCCCACTCCCCCTTACAGGTAGTTCACAGGATATACACAGAAATAACCTGCAACCTTGAATCTCATGAAAAAGACCTGTATTTAAAACTCTCACGAATGACAGCAACTCAAGGTACAGGCACACTAAAACAAGGTGACTTCTCTGTTTGCATTAAGACCAAAGGCATCCAGAACAAACATGAAGTGTGCTGTCTGTCCACAGACAGCCAAGTGTTTTCATCCTAAACCAAAGTGGAGACTAAGGAAGTTAAAAAAAAAAAAATAGAAAACAGCAGGTAGCTGATCACACACAGCAGGTGACAGGAGTGAGCGTCAGCGGACGTCAACCCCAGGCCCACCTGGGCTCCAGGGCCCCCCCCTCCAAGGCAGCGAACAACCCCGACCGTCAGCCTGGAAATAATGAAAGACACCACGAGGGCCACCGCTCCCTCCCACCGAGGACACAAAGAACCCGGCGCGGGCAGACCCCCAATAAAAATCAGCCTTAACAAGGGGAAGAGAGACAGGGGTTCAATTTGCGCTAAAACCACTTGGAATCCATGGGGGGGAGTGGTCTCAGATTCCAAGGGAAAAATCCGATTTTAAAGGAGGGGACAACGGGAGGGTGACAGTGCCAGTAAGTCTGTGCCGGGACCGCTCGGCGTCTCCGGAGGCTCAGACTCGAGAATTTGAAAATGGGAAGCGAGGGGGAGATGACAGTTCAACGCGTGCCCCACCTGGGGCCCGATCCAGTGGCAGGACAGGGGGACAGGGGCCGCTGCGCCCGGCCTCGAGGTGACCCGCAGGGCAGGCGCCCAGGGACAATCTGAGGTAAGTTTACACAGCCGAGCGGCGGGGGCAGTGCCCGAGGGCCCGGCGGCCGCTTCCGGGGAAACAATGCCTCAGGGGGTCCCCCAGCCCGGACCCCGGACCGAGGGTCGGACCCCTCCCCCCAGCATCCCAGCCCCGACCTTGACCCCGCCCGCGCCCGCAGGCGCCCTGGCCGGCAGGTGCCCCGCGCCCCGCGCACGCGCGCGCTCCCGCCTCTCACCGAGCAGCGCCCGCAGGTGCTTCAGGCGGGTCAGCACGTCCTTCTTGGGGTCCAGCACCTTCTGAGTGGACTTCTTCACATCCCCGTGGCTCCTTCGGGAGAACATCCCGCCGCGGGAAGCCCGGGCCCCGCCGGCGGGGCAGGAGGCGCCTGCGCCGCACGGGTCACCGCATAGGGTCGGGGCCGGTGCCGCGTCGCGCGGGCCACTCGCCGCCCCCCTTCGCGGCCAAGCCCGCTGCCGCCGCCCGCTGCAGCTTCAGCGGCGGCTCCGGGAAGGAGGGGCCGGGCACGGCGAGGGGCGGGGCAGGAAGGCGGTGTCGACGCGGAACCGACGGCCCCGCCCCGCGGGAGGTACCGGCCCGGCCCCCTTTCGGGCTCGACGCACGCGCACTCGGTTCGGACCGGCCTCGCGAAACGGGGTCCGGTCCACGCGCGGGGACGCGCCGGGAACACCGAGCCCGCGCCGCGAATCACAAAGGCCCGTCTCTTATGCACGCGCCAAACTACAAGTCCCGGGATGCACCGCAAGATCGCCCTCCAATCAGGCTGCGTACCTCGGCACAAGGGGCGCCAAGGAGCCGCTCTGAGAGTGTCGCCCCGCCCCGCCGTGTGTCGCAAGTACTCCTGTGAAATGTAGTTCTGCAGGAGGCTAGACTCAGACCTGTTTTCCTGGGTTGTGGGCGGGGGTCGGGGGCCGCTGGGCAGCATCTGCTGGCCCCCTTGACCTGTAAGCCCTGGGACGCCCGGAGTTCTTCCCGCGTGCGTGCCTGCCTACCCCTACTTCCCTCTAGCGCAACGTGAACCACAAAATACTCTCAGAAAAATTGCAAGGCTTTTAAAATCCAAACTATTTTTAGATTTAGCCTTCGGTTTCACACTGGGGAGGGAAAGCCAAGCTCCTTGACTTTGCCAAAACTGGAGCTCCATGTTCACACTAACATGAACGGCTTAGGCAGCAGAGGCGGCCATGCCTGGGATGCAGGTAGAGCAGTCCAGCCCGGCCTCTTGGTTCTGGGGGACGAGACCTCATTTGTGGTTGTTGGGGGGGTCGCTCTCCCAGAGGCGGCTCCGGACTTTGTCCCTGGATTTTGTCGAAGGGCACATTGCTGTGTGTTGTGCAAGGGCCGTATAGGAATCCAGTGGCAGAACCAGAAGCCGAACCTGAGGGACCTGACAGGCTGGGATGGTTTTTGAGGCCAGGCGTCTGTTCCCGGAGGCGAGACGTGGAGCCGAAGGCTGGTGGTGGTGGGAGTTTGCGTGAGGGGTGGAGATCCTGCGGGTCTTCACGCGTCAGCCTCCGCAGCCAGCACTTAAGGGGGAGTCTGTTGAGGATCGCGTGCTTGCCATCCGGGTTGGGACCGCACAACTTGCGAGTATCCACCACTGACCTCAGTATTGGGCCTCGACCGAGGTTTGCTCAGTAGAATGCAGCGAACAGCCCTACACGCTTCAACCAGGCGTGAAATAAATATAAGAAAACTCAGGGTGGTTACTGCCTGCCTCTATCTTTAGATTTGTCAAAATAGCATGGATGGAGCAGGGATGCATTCGTGCCAAGACACAGGACTCAGAAATAAAAAGGAGCAGCCGACTGATGGGTTCAGCAGCGGGGACAACTCCCACAGACATGGAGATGGAAGCCCCGCGTGAAGGATCAAGGCAGGGCTCATAGGTCAGGGCCGCAAACCTCCACAGGTTGGAGAAATCGTGTTCCTCGAGTCTTAAGACATTTTAGGAGTCTCTGTTACAGCAGCTTAGCCTGTACTCCGGAACAGAGAATAAATCACAATGTTCACTATCCCATACTTTTGGAACAAGATACCTTTTCTTACCCTGACCAACAAATACTAGCCGTCAACTTATCTTAGGGAATTTATCACACATCGCCAACATCATCAAACATTTATTGCAAGGCACAAGGCACAATTCTACACCTTTGGAGATTAAAAAAATATAAAAATGCAGTCCCCTGACCTCCAAGGCTTCCAGTCTGGTTGAAGAGTCTGAGCAACAGGACAAATAAGTAAACCACAGTGAACACGTGACACTGTCGTTCCTTGACAGTGCCAGAAGCAGCTGTCTGTGCACTGCAGCCATCTTATCTACCTTTATGTACTGATGAAAATGTAGCCTCCAAATCTTCTCTAAGAAGAGAAAAATATACACACATATATTATTATTAATTATTACTATTATCTGGAAGGCTTTCCATTCACATTCGTTTTCCATAGGTTCTTCTTACTTTATTGTATAAGATTTATGTATGTATGTATGTATTTGAAAGTCAGAGTTACACAGAGAGAGGAGAGAAGGAGAGAGAGGTCTTCCATCCGCTGGTTCACTCCCCAATTGGCCACAACAGCTGGAGCTGAACTGATCTGAAGCCAGGAGCCAGAAGCTTCCTCAGGGTCTCCCACATGGGTGCAGGGGCCCAAGGACTTGGGCCAACTTCTACTGCTTTCACAGACTGTAGCAGAGAGCTGGATCAGAAGTGAAGCAGCCGGGACTCGAACTAGTGCCCATGTGGGATGCCGGCACTGCAGGTGGTGGCTTTATCAGCTATGCCACAGTGCAGGCCCCGGTTCTTCTTACTTTCTATTTTTCTCCCTAAAGTTATTCTTCATGGACTGTGAACTCATTTGCTATGTAGCTAATTCTGTATCCCTGGAGTTTTAGAGTGCAAATTAATGGCTACTTATGTGCTATTGGATAAATGCTCCATTTCCATCAGAAAATAAGGATAATGAAATCAAGAGTTTAAAACTTGCAATGCAAATTAAAACTACCCTCAAACACCATTTGAATTAGAAAACACACAAGGTTTGACAGTATACTGGTGGCAAAGCTATGGAAAAACATAACTGGTAGGAAAGTTAAGTGGTACAAGTGTGTGGGAAAATTTGGTGAAGTTACATATTATTTGCCCTTTGACCTGGAAAATTCCACAGAAATTATGATTGAAACTTTATTTGCAAAAAGGTCTTTGCAGATGTAATGAAGTTAAGGATCAAAAGATAAGATCATCCTGGATTATCTGTCTGGGTAGGCCCTAAATCCAATGACAAATGTCCTTGTAAGAAACTATAGAGGAGGGGTGGCACTGTGGCATAGTGGGTAAAGCCATGGCCTGCAGTGCCGCATGGTTCAAGTCCCGACTGCTCCATTTCCGATCCAGCTGTCTTCTGTGGCCTGGGAAAGCAATAGAAGTTGGCCCAAGTCCTTGGGCCCCTGCACCTGTGTGGGAGACCCAGAAGAAGCCCCTGGCTCCTGGCTTCAGTTGGGCTCAGCTCCAGCTGTTGCGGCCATTTAGGGAGTGAACCAGCAGATAAAAGACCTCTCTCTCTTTCTCTCTCCCTCTCTCCTTCTCTCTCTGCATAACTCTGACTTTCAAATAAATAAATAAAATTTAAAAAAAACTCTGTAGCATTTAATTTTACTTGCAAATGCCAGTTTGAACTTCTGATTTAAAAAATATATATGCAACTTCAGTAATATATGTAAAAGACTTTCCTTTCCCATACTGAATTAGCTTGGTACCTTGATCAGTTGTCAGACGTATATGTGGATGTGTGGGTCTACTTCTGGACTTCCTGTTTGGTTTCGGTGAGTCGTTTCTTTCACTTTCTGCCTTGACTACAAATTTTGATATTAGGTGGTGTATATCTCCTGGTTCAAGATCATGGTGCCTACCTCTGCATCCTTTCCAATCCCTTATCAATTTTAGAATCAATTTGAGTTTTCCTAAAAAAAAAAAAAATCCTGCCATGTTTCCTTTTGCTTCTGATCTCTAAAAGGGGCCTGGAAACTGATCCCCAGCAGTCATGAGCAAACCTAGCATCCAGAGCTTGATTTCCAAATATTCCCCCACCCAGAGCAGTCAGAGTTCTTTGGAGAAATGGCTGAGCCCAGGCTGTGGCAAGGGAAATACAGAGCAAGTATCAGGCTGTGCCCCTCCCCGCCCTGCCTCCAGCAATGGGAAAGTCTCTGAAACACAGAAGCCAACCTGAAGGGGCCCCTAATGATGAGAGGGGGAATAATTTGACCCTCAAAAAGGATAATAATGGCAGATTGATTCCAACACTTTGAGTAAATAAAAATTCAAGAATCCATGAGGATATGAAAAATAAGTTTGTTTCCAGGTACTAGGTGAATGTTACAAGCAGCAAGCAGTTCCTGCACCTTTGATGTGTATTTAAATACTTTAATCCATGCCTAAAATACTTTCATGGGCTCTTCAGCCATATCCGAATGCCTTAAGGGCTGATTCTGAGGCCAGAGTGCTATTTGGGACATCTGCCATTCTATGAGTCTACTGTGTATCTCGCTTCCCATGATGGATCGTTCTCTCCCTTTTTGATTCTATCAGCTAGTATTAGCAGACACTAGACTTGTTTGTGTGATCCCTTTGATTCTTAGACCTATCAGTGTGATCAATTGTGAACTGAAATTGATCACTCGGACTAGTGAGATGAAATTGGTACATGCCACCTTGATGGGATTGTATTGGGATCCCCTGGCATGATTCTAACTCCACCATTTGGGGCAAGTCCGATTCAGCATGTCCCAAATTGTACATCTCCTCCCTCTCTTATTCCCACTCTTATATTTAACAGGGATCATTTTTCAGTTAAAAGCCAAGACACCCTGGAAAAAAAAAAAGGAAGACCTAAATGGAAGATCTCTGCGAGTGAGATCCCAGTGGAAAGAATGGGGCCATCAAAGAAGGAGGTACCTTTCTCTGAAGGGAGGAGAGAACTTCCACTTTGACTATGACCCTGTCGGAATAAGATCGAAGTCGGCGAACTCAAAAGGCTTCCACAGCCTTGGCAACTCATGACTAGAGCCTAGGGAGATTACTGACGCCATAAACAAGAGTGTCAAATTGTTAAGTCAACAACAGGAGTCACTGTGTACTTACTTCTCATGTGGGATCTGTCCTTAGTGTGTTGTCCAATGTGAAGTAATGCTATAACTAGTACTGAAACAGTATTTTACACTTTGTGTTTCTGTGTGGGTGCAAACTGATGAAATATTTACTTAATATATACTGAATTGATCTTCTGTATATAAAGATAATTGAAAATGAATCTTGATGTGAATGGAATGGGAGAGGGAGTGGGAGATGGGAGGGGTGTGACTGGGAGGGAAATTATGGGGGGGAGCCATTGTAATCCATTAACTGTACTTTGAAAATTTATATTTACTAAATAAAAAAATTAATAAAAAATACTTTAATCCACGTATACAAGTGAGTCCTCAGTAGCTAATGCCTTTTTTCTGTAGTGAATGGGAAACTTGATATGAACTGGGTGTATGATTCAAGATCCTGACAAGGGAAAAGTATGGATCTTTATTTTCCTTTGTCTTCATCATC